AGTAATAATAATAAAAATTATTATTATTATTATTTTAATAATAACACAGGACCACAAAAAAAGTTTTTCGGAGAGCAACTGGGACCGCAGTAGACGATTTTTATAGATTTTGGGTAGCTAAAATCGAAACAAGGCCCCATTTTGCTCTAACACGTCAGGATTTTCAAGAAAGTAAGGTTATGTAGGTGAAAAACAGCGATTTTTGGCGGTGTAACAGTGTAATCGACAGTCTGTTACAAAAAAGGTGTGCTAAACAATTTCAACGCGCAAACATGACCTAAAAAAGAAGTTTGCGTGCATGCGCGTGTGTCGCATTGGTTACCGCCGGCGTTAGCGTAACCCAAGATGTACCGCGAGGAGGTCGCACGGTCGGTGTGTGTGCGTGTGTGTGTGTCATTTTCAGAGATAAAGACCCCGTAGCTCGTCATTTTTACGGTATTTACCGACTCCAAACCCTCTTTGCTCAGAGTGTGTGTGTGTGTGTGTGTGTGGAGTGGGGCGGTGATTATGAGTTTGCGATTTTATACGCACGGATTCTTTTTTCCTCAAAAGATCTTTGAATGGCTTTTCTTTTGTGCTAATCGCTATAAAATCGCAAACTCATAATCACCGCCCCCTCCTCCACACACACACACACACACACACACACCCTCTGAGCAGAGAGGGTTTGGAGTCAGTAAATACCGTAAAAATGACGAGCTACGGGATCCTTATCTCTGCAAGTGACACACACACACACACACACACACACACACACACACACACTCACATACACACACAAAAGCACATACACACCCTCAGAAAAGATTTCTACATACAATGCTATTACTCTTGAATCTGTCATAAAATAGAATCGAAATAGAGCCAATCATATTTAGTATTGAAACAATAATATTTTAGTCTTAAACAGAAAATTTCTTAAGTCTAGAATAAAATAATCTTGATACTATCCCTCTTAACTTTCTCAGAAAGATGCAGATATTTGTGACAATCCTATAATATTTTTGATTCAAGAATAGACGAATCTGAAAGAAATCTTATTCTATTCTTGTAAAAAAAATTAAAAAAACAATTTTTTCTTTTTAATTTTAAATAGTTCTTATTTTTTTTCTAATATTTTTATAGTTTAATTTGTATTCGTGGTTCCGCATATATTCTATTTTATTAATTAAAATTACGCAGTTTTACAATTTTTGAGAACGCATCGACGGGATTTGAACCCTAAGATGTCCGGGGTCGCAACCTAACACGCTAACGCTGAGCTAATCGTACGCTTGTGGTATCTATCATTATAACTGCTACATTAATAGACGTGCTTTTTGAAGTAGTTGCAACTGCATATTGATGTGAATACGATGTTGTGTTTGTTTCAATCTAGTTCATTATTTGATAATATTCCTAATAAATAAAATATATTTAATTATTCTTATATATTTTATTATTAGAATAATTAAGTAGGCGCAATTTTTTATGTTAAAATTTAAATTTTTCATTGATGTTTACTTATATACACGTAAGCATTCTGCCAACCTTATTGATGAAAGAATTATTTAACATAAAATTGGTATCTTCAGTCGATTGAGAAAATTTAACCACATAATTATTCGAGTAATCTTTAGACAATTCCTATTTTTGACATCAGATATATGGAGAGTCTGAACTGATGAAAATGATATTTTCAAGGATAAACCTCTCCCAGCCAGTAACCGACAGCAAAATTTAAGTTGGTGTCTTTTAGCTATAGAATAAAATAAATTGATTCTGTTGGCAGACGAATAGGCTATTTGTTTTCCTTCTCTATGCTTCCATTCTAATACATGATAATGGCTCAAGAGGACCTATTTCAGGAATGATATCTGGATAATGGATATTTTATTAGATGCATCTTAGGCGTTTCGCGCCGCGCGGCCGTCGCGCGGATCGCGCCTAATATTATGGCGCTAACATTGCGCGTTATAAAACAATATTGAGATTAAATCAACAATTCCTATTCTAACATATATACATTTAAGCTTATATTCTTGCGTTTAGACTAATCTTCACGCGCGTGAAACGCAAGAATATAAGCTTAAATGTATATATGTTATTCTTGTTTCAAGATATTAAGTCAATGTTATTTTATTCGAGAGAAGAAAATAGGAATTATTGATTTAATCTTAATATTGTTTTATTTTTATACTACTTCAGGTTGTGATGAGATTAAACATGTTAAGAATATTTTTTGTCTCTTTATTAGAAATTTTTTCTGAGGGTGCAGAAGTGAGAGGCAAGGGGACTCACTTTAATCAAGCACCCCAATGAGATATAAACCCGACCGTGCGACCTCCTCGCGGTACATCTTGGGTTACGCTAACGCCAGCGGTAACCAATGCGACACAAGCGCATGCACGCAAACTTCTTTTTTAGGTCATGTTTGCGCGTTGAAATTGTTTAGCACACCTTTTTTGTAACGGACTGTCGATTACACTGTTACACTGCCAAAAATCGCTGTTTTTCACCTACATAACCTTACTTTCTTGAAAATCCTGACGTGTTAGAGCAAAATGGGGCCTTGTTTCGATTTTAGCTACCCAAAATCTATAAAAATCGTCTACTGCGGTCCCAGTTGCTCTCCGAAAAACTTTTTTTGTGGTCCTGTGTTATTATTAAAATAATAATAATAATAATTTTTATTATTATTACTCTATTTGTTTTAGAATAATTGTCAATTTGTCGAAATAATGATTCAGGGGTGGTTTTGAAGGGTTGATTTTGATTATAATGGGGAGTAACGTCTGAAAACTATTTAATTGGATGTTATAAACCATTTTGTTTCAAAGTTGCATCAAATTTGATAGAAACTGCTAAGATTTTAGATGTTATTTGCATACTTTCCTATTTTATAGGGTGGTTTGAGCGATATTTTGGTCATACTGTCCCACCCTTGAATGTAAATGAAAATCGCCATACGGCATCCAAAAATTGAGTTTCAGACGAAAATTTTGAGACCTCGCAAAGCATTTTATCTTCAAAAATAAAATGCGCAGAGGGGTGGCCGAATTGAGAAAGAATGCCCCAATATATATATATATATATATACTAGCTGGTTACCCAGGCTTCGCCCGGGCACCGTTTTTCTTCAAACGATTTCAATTGCGTTTCAATATTCTTATTGTGGACAAAACATAAGGAGTGTGTCGGGTGGTTGATTTAAAGGCGGTAGTTTAACTTTTTTGCTTGACAATGATCACATATTACATCTATTTTAAATAAATGAATAAACTTATTCTATACTTAATTATAAGCCGCATTATCCGCCATCCGCGTCGTCACGCACACCCATATCACTCACTCCTACATCCACGCTGATAATCATTTAATATTACTCCCATCGCATTCTTCTCTGAATTATTTTTATTTATTGTTGTCCTTATTTATTTAAAATTTCGAGGTCTAGCAGCGCCAAGTTTTTTTACAAGAAAAATTTTTGTATTTTAATAAAATATTTTTTTATTTTGTATAATACTGTTACCTCTGTAATTCTTTGTGATTAAATCTTTTATTCTATTAAAAAATACATATATAAACTTTATATTTAAATACAAATTGTATTCCCTCGTTGGATTAAATATTTTAATAAAATATTTGTATTTTGTACTGTTACCTCTGTAATTCTTTGTGACCACTAAAAAATACACATGTAAACTTTGTATTTAAATATCTTGTATTCCCTTGTTAAATTTAAATGAAATTTTTTAATCTTATAAAATTGTTATCATACATTCTTTTTTAATTGACACAATGTGAAGATTTTTTAAAGTAGTGCAACAATTATTTTTTGAGGCAATATATATGTTCTCTCTGTAATTGGCGCTGTAATTTAAAGAGATATTATTTCTTTTTTTGTAATTGTAATAGATCACTTGAAACGCGACTTTTCTTTTTGATAAGGTAACATAATTTTGTGATGTGTATCACTTGGGTTATAATTTTTCGGAAATAAAGATACTACTGCTTAGATTTTTTCGAGATTTTTCGAGATATAAAGATTACGTCTACCACTTGTTACTTAGGTTTTTTCGAGGTAACAACATATACACTACTATACGTGTACTTAACGCCTTTTTTTACCTTTTTTTAAAAAAGGTAATTTTGTACGGATATCACGCCTTTTCGTAGTATTACGCATTTTATAAACAGTATGTACAGGGTAAAGCTATTTGGAGGTATAATACTACCACTTTGTTTTTTTCGAGGTAACAACATAATACATATACACTACTATGCGTGTACTTGGCGCCTTTTTTTACCTTTTTTTTAAAAAGGTAATTTTGTACGGATATCACGCTTTTTTGTAGTGTTACGCATCTTAATCTTATAAACAATATATCTTGTAATCCTATAAACAGTATATAATACAAGGTATGAAGCTAAAAGTGTTACGGACTATTATTTCTAAAGAAAACAACAATTTAATATTTTGCTTAGTTTTTTAAAAATAATAATCTGTAACCCTTTTAGTTGTACACCTTGTATATATTTTTCGATTTCAACATAAAACATAATCGCAATATAGCATGATTAATGTTAATAAGTCGTTAACTGTAAAATTCTTTATTTATTTTTATTCGCGTGTCTTACTGAATGTTGTTCGCAACTGTATATGTACCGATATCTTCAGGTATCGATATTTTTGATAATTACAGATGAACACCTGTAACACGTGTCTGAAATTTACCTGATTTGTTTATTCTTTTATTTCCTACAACTAATCGCAAATTAATTCTATTTGCTAAAAGCAATTCTGTTAAATTTCTCATACATAACGCATCGTTTATAATTTTCTATTATAAATATTAAATAATACGATATATATACATACATATATATAGGGTTATGTGGGGTGATGTGCAACACGTTCACGCGTCAAAAATCAAATTCTTGAATATATCATGGCTGTATAATGTAGAGGAAGGAAAATACTACAATTCTCTCTGCGTGATTAGATTTTCAAAATTTTAAATTTTTCCTAAAAATTTTTCGAGTTTTCAAAAAAACGTCTGTTTTAGCATTTTCAAATTTTCTTGGGGTGATGTGCCACACAGGTAAAATTAAGGTAAAAAATGCATGAATATCGACATCAATCGACTTAAATGTTAAATTTGGGCTTCTTAAATACAAATTAATCGAATAATGAAAGGAAAAATGCAAAAAACTTTATTTTTTATCATCTGAATCGCAGTTGTCACAAGTAAAATAGTTGCGACCTTGCATGTCGACACATTTCAAATGATAAGGAATATCGCAAGTGTTACAGTAAATTGAATTGTTGCGATTCTTTTTTTTTTCATATACACATGTTCAATCGTAAAATAACTAGCGAAAAATAAGTGTTGCACATCACCCCAAACACGCTATTTTGCGCGGACTGGCGTGACACCAACACAACGTAAGAAAATCACAAAATCGCTGTGGATTATCAAAAGTACTTAAAAAACTAACAATATAAAAATATTTACCTATAAAATGACCTAAAACCAATTCATGAAATCACTATGAATGTGAAAAGCGAAAATTACATTGAGCTCGAGAAATTTAACTCGCTTTTCGTACAGCAAAACAGGGTGCGTGCCATCTCGCGAGTTATTTATCCAAAACAAGGTACTATTGACACAAATAGATAGCAGTATGCGGTTCTGTCAAATAGGGTTCCTATAAGGGAGTTGGGCAGATACCGTTGCCCGATTGTGATTGGCTCCGCCATTTTCTAGGCAACTTCCGGTAGTTCCGGCAACGCCGGCACATGGCAATCTTGGCACAGCTATCATCGATGATCGACGCAATAACGTGATATATATAAGTGCTGTGTTATTCACATACAAAGAAAACTGTTTATATTGAAGGTAAATATTGTGTAATATATAATTAAAGTGAAAGTGATGGAATGCCCTGTATATAAAATATCTTGTGATTAATGTGAAAAATAGAAAATGCCGCATTATTGTGTAGCTTTTGGATGCTACAATTCATCCAAAAAAGGCGCAGTAATGCATATCTTTTCACGAGATTTGCAACGTAAAGAAAAATGGATAGAAAATGTTGGTGGACTTTCAGGATTCAAATACTGCAGAATTCCAAACGAAAATTCATTTTTATGTGAGGTACGTTTTCTATTTATGAGGAGTTGATTTATTAGCAATTTATTATTGTCCATAAGCATGAGGATTCTGACGACGTACAACGTAATATATTTCATTTTTAATATACTGTTCCATTTTATAGTTTCATTTCACGGTTGACATGTATGAGAAGGAACGTGTTGATGGCCGGAAAAAATTGAAATCATCTGCTGTTCCAACGATTTTTGGAGAACTTGTCATTCAACAAAATAAAAAAAATGTTGCAGGTAAATAATATATTAATAATATTTGTTTTTAATTAATTCGTCACATTCAATAATATTAATAACTCATGGCTCATTTTTTTTTTACATCGGTATATCATATACGACAGAAATTTGTAAGTCATATTTGCATAGTTTACGTTGTTTGTTTTGCTAAATATTGGTATTTATATTTTAGCGTTTATACCTGATACTACATCAGCTACAGAAATCGTAGTAGCTTCTGAATTGACAGCTCAGGGGGATGAAGGATATGTTCCCAATATCGAAGCTGCTGCAGAAATTGAGATATCTAATCTGGTTCAGAGAAAGAAAAAATTTCTCTCCGATACTAAACCCACTAAAGAAATTGAGATATCTAATCCGGTTGAGAGAGAGGAAGAATTTCTCTCCGATACTGAACCCACTAAAGAAATTGAGATATCTAATCCGGTTCAGAGAGAGGAAGAATTTCTCTCCGATATTGAACCTACTAAAGAAATTGTGGTATCTCATCCAGTTCAAGTTCAAGGAGACGAAGATTTTGTATCGGAATCTGCTTCAGAAATATCTCACCATCTAGTCTCAGCTCCTGTGTGCTTGCAAGATTCTGATGTTTGTCGCAATAAAGATTTTGTAATTCGGAATTCCTTGAATACTACAAACAACAAGCTCATAGATTTGGACAACTGTTTGAAAGAAGTGAACGAAGGAGAAGTATTATGAAGAAAAAGCATAAGCAAGCACAAATTCTATTCAAGAAGAAACTGAAGAAACTAGAAGAGGAAGTACGTATTAATAATCTATACCCTAAAATACTTCAAAATTTGTTAAATAGCGATAAAATTAATTTACTATGCCGCAAATATAAGAAAATACCGAAATGGAGCGATAAGACGTTAGTGAAGGCATATCAATTAAAATTTGCTATTAAATTAACTTTTACTAAACATTTACTTTCATTACAGATAATGCAATCACGTATGAAAGTGCCTCCTGGTTTGAGGTTTCCTTTCAAACGTTGAATTGGATAATGGACATGGATATATATAATATGCATACAATGGCTACATATATATTGTCCCACACAGCACAAGATATTGCAACATTCACCAGATATCCGAGGGATCGCAATATATCCAAATATTGATCACAATAACCGTAGGACATCCAATATGATATCGCTATATCCTGGAAAAAAAGTGTGCTGTGTGGGGTATATAAATTTATTGCACTTAAGTATATGATGAATATGTGTGTATATTGCCACTAAGTATATCATTACAATGTAATTCATAAATACATATATGTAAATATCGAATTTGTTACATAAGCTCGTAAAATATTACAATTGTATATTAAAATTAATAAATATTTGCACAATTTATTTCTAAATAGTATTTCAGCAAAAAAGCAGCGTTATGAGTAACCATCTTAGCGCAATAATTGTAAAATTCCTCTCAATTAAATGATGCAATTATTGTACAATGTTTGCGTAATTTTCCTATCGGAGTATAAATTGATTTTCATACAACATAATTATACATATACTTCAGAAAGAAAGTTTCTTGTATTAAAATAAAATACATATTTATCTCAAGTTTACTATAGAAATTTTTATTTTCCTTCTTTCCTCGTTGTTAAAAGTATAATTTTGGTTTGCTAATAACTTTTATTTTTGCTGTTAACTGTAATAAATGTGTTAAATTTATGATAGCTTCAATATTTTTACTGTCATCTTAGGTTAAGTTTATAACTTCATCAATTTTTTATTTATTCTTCCATTTTTATCTTCTATTTTATATAATATATACATATTACGTTTGCTACAATGAAGTTATAATAGCTTTTTTATACGTTGCATTTCATATAGTAGTTACGATACAAAATTTAAAATTTGCCGCTCTTTATACGCTGAGGATCAGAAAATGGCGACTTCCGGCACATTTGCCCAACTCCCTTATAGGAATCCTACTGTCAAATGTCGACATGCAGACCAGGAATCGGAAACGTTGCACATCACCCCACATAACCCTATATATATATATATATATATATATATATATATTCGTACTCACATCCTTGAAAATTATTTCGGGAATTCAAGCGAATGTCACAACTAGATAAAATTATCTTTCATATTTTGACAGTTGAATAGGAACATATTTGAGTTGGCGAAAAATGATTCTCTGAAACCGCACGTGTGTGTAAATAATTCAGTAGAAAATATATAATCTTCATTTCAAAATACATTTGCACACTACGTACCAAAAATATATAATATGATAACGTAGTTTTTGCTATTCAATTGATTGAATTTCAGAAAAGAAAAAGATTTAAAAGTATATAACTATGTCAGTCAACAAAGAGACATAGACGCAAATTGAATCATAAATATTTAATTGCCTGCTCATTAAATATAAAGTGCAAACACATAGAAATTGTATATTTTTCTATACTTAAATGCAATAGGAAGAAATAATTAAACAAGTATCCTTGCATAGGAATATTATGCATAATTTTTACAAAACATATTTGAGATTCGCGCAATTGAGATATATAATAAAATTAATAACGATTCTATAAATCTTAGGTATATGTTAATAATAATACGACATGATCTTTTTAAACATGAAACTTACAAACTAACGGAAAAAGATTCGTGTCCTAAATGCCAATAATTTTTCTAATGTAACAATAATACTGAAAATATATGGATAGAGATATATATAATAAATAATAACATAATTAATGATGATATACAAGAGCTTTTGTCGCGCATATTGATTTTCAATAATGGATATTATAACAAATACGTTTTACGTTTATTCGAAAACAAATTATGTGTACATATAATAAAAATTGTATGAATTAAAATTATGTGTATACACATAATAAAAATGCGGAATTATTTTTATGTCAGACATAATTTTAATTCATCCAATTTTTATTATGTCTAGACATAATTTTCGTCCAATTTTTATTATGTCTAGACATAATTTTAATTCAGCGATTTTTATTATGTCATGACATAATTTTAATTCTGCCGCTAAAAAATTTTTAAGTCGATTCTTATGAATCAAGCTTGAATTCAATGTCTAGGTGTCCCAGGTTGCCGATGGCAAGGTCCACATAGTGCGCTCTATAGTTTTCGGTGTCCAGATGTATTAATACCTTGAATTCGATGTCCACGTGTTCCAGGTTGCCGATGACGAGATCCACATAGTGCGCTTCGTAGTTTTCGGTGTCTACATGTATTAATACCTCGAATTCGATATCTACGTGTCCTACATTTAGATTTAAAGTTATTAATACACCTAGACACCAAAAACTACGAAGCTCATTATGTGGACCTCGTCATCGGCAACCTGAAACACGTAAACATCGAATTCGAGGTATTATTACACCTAGGCTGTGGTTCATTTGACGACACAAATTCTTTGGAGCGTCCTTCTTCTCCTTCTTTCTTCATTGAAAAAAAAGAGAAGAGGAATGCTTCGAAGCATTTGTAGCGTCAAGTGAACCGCAGCCCTAGATACCGAAAACTACGGAGCGCGCTATCTGAACCGCGTCATCAGCAACCTGGGACACCTAGACATTAATTTCAAGGTATTAATACACGTAAACACCGAAAACTACGGAGCGCACTATGTGGACCTCGTCATCGGCAACCTGGGACACCTAGACATTGAATTCAAGGTATTAATACACGTAGACACCGAAAACTACGGAGCGCACTATGTGGACCTCGTCATCGGCAACCTGGGACACGTAGACATCGAATTCAACGTATTATTACACCTGGACACCGAAAACTATGAAGCGCACTATTTGGACCTCGTCATCGGCAACCTGGGATACCTAGACATCGAATTCAAGCTTGATTCATAAGAATTGACTTAATAATTCCCTAGCGGCACTTTCTGCCAAGCGTAGAGAACCTTCTTTTCCGGCAGCGGTGGTAATACAATGTAAGGATACGAAATCTCACCAGATAAACATGAAGCAATTGACTCAATATATATATTATATATATATATATATATATATATATCTAATTTACCTAAATAGAAATCTTCCTCCTGACCGATAAGTCTATCGACTTAATTTCGAAATACGCGCGCGATATTGAAACAGGCGATACCTGCGCCGCCAGCGTCGAAAAAGTGAAAGTGACGTTTCTCTAAAATAATCATAATAATATTGAGACGTCGGCGTTAGGAGGAGGAGAAGGAGGAGGAGGAGGAGGAGGAGGAGGAGGAGGAGGAGGAGGAGGAGGAAATCTTAGAAATAAATTTTCACATTTGGACTTTGCGTCGCAATATCTCCGCTCGTAGGGCACGTAGCGGAATATTATAAGAGAAACCCCCCCCCCCTAATCCGACTTTAAGCTATCGATCAAGCCTACTTAGAACTTGATCCGTTCACTCGTTATCGAGATCTCAACATCTCGGGTACTCGCAACCCGTCGTGTCGCGTAAAAGAGTCACGATCGGTTTCGCTTCGCGTGTACTTGGCGCGAGACACTACCGTGTCTCTTGATATAATTATATATAATTATACAAGCGATTAAAATATATTTAAATATATATATAATTATTTCATATATAAAATTTGACATAATTATATATAAGTTCATATAATTTATATATAAATTATTTATAAAAAGCATTTATCCATGTAGATTATATATAATTATATATAAAATTTACATTCGGATTATCCAATAGATGGCATTCGATAGGATTCGTTTCTCGTATTTAAAATTTGGCGAACAGTGGTATAAAAACGGTATCAAGAGACATGGTATTGGTGCTATTCC